CCTAAGTGCTGCATCCAGGTGGGGAAAACCAAATCCGGCGAGGAGGAAGAGGAGGGAGAGGGGCCCGTCCAGTGCATAGGCATGAGCTGAGCACCCCCTACATCCTGCCCTTCCCGGATTCCGGAGGAAAACACCCTACAGCCGCCGGGCCCCGCCCCCTCGCTGCTCCACGCCCATCCTCGGCTTCCCATTGGTCTCTTTGTACATCGCCCGCTCTGCCATTGGCTGAGCCGGAGAGTTCGGCCCGCCTTCTTCCCCGCCCCCTGTCCAGCTCGGGGATCCTTTGGAGGACGGGGCGTGGCTACCCGTAAATGGGGCGTGGTCCAGGGAGGCGTGGCCGAGTTGCCCGCCCCGCCCCTTCACTTCAGAAGGACGGGGAGTGACCTTCCTGAGAGAGGGCGTGGCCATAGGGAGGCGTGGCCGGCTTGCTCGCCCCGCTCGGGCTCTTCAGGAGGATTGGGCGGGGCTTCCATCGGATGGGCGTGTCCACGAGGGGCGTGGTCTGGCCGCCGGCTCCGCCCTGCTCCGAGCTCCCTGTGCTAAGTTGCTCTGCGGCGGCGGCTGCTGACCCGGGGTCCCCACGGAGGAGGCTGCACCGAACCCCGAACCCCGAACCCAGGAGAGCCTCAGCGTGCCGGTGAGCGGGCGGGGGTGGCGCACCCCATCCCAGGGCGTATCCCCGGGGCGGGCTGAGGGACCCCCCACCCACTGCATGCAAACCTTGGCTTGCCTCAGTCCCCGCCTTGCTTGCATGGGGGTACAGGGACACGGCGCAGGTCTGAGGGGCCCTTGCCAGCCCGGCCCGTGGACAGAGCCGGGAGCCACAAGACAGTCCCCTCCGTGGTGATGGACCCCCCCTCTCCCGTGGACAGAGGGATCCCCCTCTCCCGTGGACAGAGCTGGGAGCCACAGGACAGTCCCCTCCGTGGTGATGGACCCCCTCTCTCCCGTGGACAGAGGGATCCCCCTCTCCCGTGGACAGAGCTGGGAGCCACAGGACAGTCCCATCCGTGGTGGGGGACCCCCCCTCTCCCGTGGAAGGGGAGACACCAGTCTCCCCCTAACCCTTCCGTGGCAGGGAACCCCTTCTCTCATGGAACAAGACCTATGAGGGCAGTTCTAACATGGAAGGGGAGCCACACCAGTGCCCGCCCAGACATGAGCCCGAGGCCTCACTTTTACAAGCTGTGAACTGGGTCTGTCGCCGCCATGGTAATTGGCAGGTATCCCTGACCCTGAACTCTTGTCTCGTGGCCTTCTCCCCTGGCCGTGGGGGTGGAGTTGGAGGCAGGACCCGAGTGGGCAGCCCCTGGCATGAGCAGTCCTGGGTGACAGGGTAGGGTGCATGTGTGTGTGTGTGTGTGTGTGTGGCACAGCGGAGGCTGTTATAGGCTGAGCACCCCAAGGCGCTACTGGGTGGGTGGTGAGCTCAGACACTCCTGGGTGGTGGAACCTGGCACCTGCCCCTCTAACCTCAGATAAGTTTATCTGTAAAATGGGGGCAGAGCCGTGCTTCTCTGCCTGCTGCTGCTGCCTGCAGGCCCCGCGGGCCCAGCCCAGTCCCCATGACTCTACCTGCTGGGCCCTGTGCCACCTGAGCAGGTGTGCAAGGCGCCAAGTTTAAAAGGAAACATACTGTCTAGCCTGCCTGCCTGCCTGCGTGGGCTGGGAGGGGCGGAGGAGGGGCCTGGCGGGACGCTGTAGCTATGGCAACGTGGAACAAAGAACCACTGCGGTCCAGAGCCAAACAGGCCATCGTGGTGGTGGGATGCTGGTGCTGGGTGAGTGCTGGGCCCTGGGGCTGGAGGAGCAGGGGTGTGGGAAGCCCCCCCTCCCCCGGGTCATAGGACCAGTTGGGCAGGTCCCTGCATGGGCCCCCAGGCAAGCCAGGTACTCTCTCATTCCTTTGAGTCACCCCAAGTTTCTCTGTCTGAAGCTAGGACTGCCGAATGTCCCTATTTATCCAAGGGGTGCGCAAGAGGGACACAGCCCCATGTTGTCATGGAAACCGGCGATGTTCAGGATGGGCTCAGGCTGCCGGGGTGCACGCCCAGCCCCCTGTAGGGAAGTAGCTGAGACGCAAGCAGGGGTGCGGGGCCTGTGCATGCTGGGGGTACGTAGGTGTCATGACCCTAAGGGGGTTAGTGCATGAAGATTATGGGGTGCGGGAGGGCATGGGGGAGAGATGGATGGCAGACGTCAGAGGAGGAGGTGACGCGTCAGGCTGCAATGGCAGGAAAGTTCTTTGGAATCCTGGGGGGAACCAGGAGAGCCAGGGCAAGGAGGGGGCCCGTGTGGCTTTGTGGATCTTTGTGGGGAGAAGGGGAAGTTTGGGAGCCCAGGAGCCCTCTGGCTGCTGGAGGGGAGAACCCGTCCACGGGGTGCAGCCTGGACACGTTGCAGAGGCACCCATATCCCACAGGCCCCTTCAAACCTTTTGCTCATGTTTTGGCTACAGAGGGCCAGGCCGGGGGTCCCCTGACATTCATTTTATGACCTCCCCCCAAGCCCAGCAGGTGGCCTGACCCGCCTGCTTTCTGGGTTCCCTGGGTACCCTGGGGCATGCGACTGCAGTGGCAGCTCCATGCCTCGCGCCCCCAGAGCGCTCCCTCTCTTAGGCCGTGCACAAGTCCTGCGCCCCTGAGGGCTGGGTGCAGGGGCAGCTGTGGTGTGTGGGGGGCCAGGGATTGGGGAGCAGGCCACTGGGAGCCCCTGGGACCCTGGCCTCGGTGGGCTCTGGCCTGGGCAGGCAGCCCAGGGAGGCCATCAATTATTCAGGGATGTGGTGTGGGACATGGATAATTCATGATGAGGGGGTGGAGCTGCCTGGGGTGGTTCCCACAGAGCCACGTTCTTTTCCTGGATGTCCACTCCGCTCCTGGGGTCCCGCGTGACACTGGGGGACCTAGCAGGTGGCCTGTATGCCATGTGGGACCCCTCCCACCTCACCCCAGGTGTGGGGCTCTAGACCTCTGTAGGGGACACGGAATCAGCCACTGGCCGCAGTATGGCCAGCGCAGTGGCGGTGTGAACAGCAGGTTCTAAAGTTCAAAGTTGATATTGCATCTACTTTTCAGGGCTCATGTGTCCCAACACGATGAAGTGGGGTGGGGGTGGCAGAGGGCAAAAGTCCACATGCCCCAATTTCGAGGGAAAAACTTGCCCGCCTCCCTCCCTGCCAGAGGTGTGGGGCTTATCCCGGGGTGGGGCAGGCTTCCAGGAGGACCTGGGTGCCCCCGCCCCGGGATGGGGGCTGCAGCCTCCTCCTCCCTGCGTGGGCAGGTGCATTTTGGAAATCTGGAGGTTTCCTTTAGATTTTTATTAATATATGTATGTATATATATATAATTTTTATTGGTAGTCAGATATACAGAGAGGAGGAGAGACAGAAAGATCTTCCATCCCATGATTCACTCCCCAAGTGACCGCAACGGCCACTGAGCTGAGCTGATCCGAAGCCAGGAGCCAGAAGCCTCTTCTGGGTCTCCCCCACGCGGGTGCAGGGTCCCAAGGCTTTGGGCCGTCCTCCACTGCTTTCCCAGGCCACAGGCAGGGAGCTGGATGGGAAGTGGAGCAGCTGGGACATGAACTGGTGCCCCTATGGGATCCTGGCGCATGCAAGGCAAGGACTTTAGTCACTAGGCTACTGTGCCAAGCCCTGCTATGTATTTTTTTAAAAGCATTTATTTATTTACATTTTATTGTATTTGAAAAGCAGAGGGACGAGAGAGAGGGCAAGGGGGGTGCGCCCATCTGCTGGTTCCCTCTCCACAGGACCACAGTATCAGTGGCTGGGCCAGGTCAGAGCCCGGAGCTCCATCCGGGTCTCTCACATGGGTACCAGGGCCCCAAAGACTTGAGCCAGCACCTGCTGCCTCCCAGAGTGCCTGTTAGCCTGGAGCTGGAATTTGGGGGGATCTGTTCGCTGAAGTGGGCGGCGGGGGGGCATCATCGCCGCCAGGCTATGGGTCAGGCCACACCTGGCCGGCTGTGTGTAACCTCTGACCTCGATCTTTCCTGTCTCTGTGGATCTGGTTCAGGACACAGTGTGACTGTTCTAGAATCTCCCCGACCCCTACCCCTGCGCCAACGTGGGAAGGAGCTCCTGGCTCTTTCTCTTGCTTTTTGGCCTCACCCAGCCCAGCTGTTGTGGCCATTTGGGGAGTGAGTCAGCAGCAGGGAGCTCGCTCTCTCCTCTCTCTTTCCCATCAGTAGCAATGTAAACAAGCACAGGGGCCAGGTGGATTCCACTGCAGGGCTGTGTGGGGGCTCTCAAATAACTTTTAAGGAGAAAGGGGCGTGTGCTTGCCCTACAGCTCATGCCTACTCATGTTTGTTGAGTGACTGTGTGAGTGTTCAGGCCAAGTCCCCATAGCCTTAGTCCACTGTTGTGGTCAGCGAGGCTAGGTGGCCAGGCCAGCAGAGACCCGGAGCGTGCAGGCCTGGGAAGGCCCCGGCCCTGGCGGCCACACCAGCCCTGCAGGAAGGAAGCTAGCATTTATTTTGGTTCTCGGCCTACTCCCCAGGGGACAGCGGTCATCGTGCGTGGTGGCAGAACAATGGGTCGGGGGGGAGGGTAGGGGCAGCGTGGGAGGCTGGAGGCGGACAGCTGGCCGCCCAGGTGTGTGTGTGTGCACATCTGGGGGTGGCTTAGAGGACCAGGCATGGCACCGCCTCCTTTTCCTGCTGGCCTTGAATGGAGTCCGGGGAAGCCACCCAGTCCCTGTACCCATTGCTCCCGACCCTCGCCGAGGAGGCCACACAGTTCTGAACGGGCGAGGAAGGACCCTCCACCAGGGACAGAGGCCTCTTCCTCCCCTGGCCTCAGTCTGTGTATCTGGAGCCTGGGTACGCGGAGTCCTTTTTCCCATGCACTTTAGTGGACACTCAGGGGGACCTCGGACCGCCCGGGCTGGCAGCCCCCCTCTTGGTCGGCTGCAGGATGGCCCGGGACTTACTGGGTTAAGCTCCTATGTCCCCCCCTCTTTCCCAGCAGGGCCATGGACACCTTCAGCGCCCGCAACCTGGCCCTGCAGACGCAGAAGAAACTTCTGAGCAAGATGGCCTCTAAGAGCATGGCCACGGCGCTCCTGGACGAGGCGAGCGGCGAGGTGCTGGACGAGCTGTACCGCGCCACCAAGGAGTTCACGCGCAGCCGCAAGGAGGCTCAGAAGGTGATCAAGAACTTGGTCAAGGTGGCCGTGAAGCTGGCCGTGCTGCTGCGGGCCGGGCAGCTGGCGGCCGACGAGCTGGCGCTGCTGAGGCGCTTCCGGCAGAAGGCGCGCAGCCTGGCGCTCACCGCCATCAGCTTCCAGCAGGTGGACTTCACCTTCGACCGCCGCGTGCTGGCCTCGGGCCTGCTCGACTGTCGGGACCTGCTGCTGCAGGCGGCCGGGCCGCACCTCACGGCCAAGTCGCACGGCCGCATCCAGCATGCCTTCCGCCACCTGGCCGACGGCGACTTCCTGGCCGCGCTCTACGGGCCGGCCGAACCCTACCACTCGCACCTGCGCCGCATCTGCGATGCCCTTGGCCGCTTGCTGGACCAGGACGGTATCTGACTGTGGGGGACGCTGCACGCCCCGGCCTGGCGTGGGGGGCAGTGGCAGGGGATGTGTGAGATCCTGACGATGCCCACACCCCGCACTGCCTGGGGCTGCTGCACCCCAGAACCCCGAGTCAGGGCTGGGTGCATGCGCACCCCCCGGGAGACTTATTGGGAAAATGCAACTGAACTGCTGCGAGCCCTAGGTTTTCTGAGACGGACATGACTTTTTTTGTTTTTGGAGAGGCAGAGTGAGCTTGCGCGCCTGCTGCGCCTCCACGCGGCCCTCGCCAGGAAACCGAGCACCATCTGGGCCTCTCACGTGGGCGGCTGCAGGAACCCCGAGCCACCTGCCACCCCCTGTCCGGGGCGCGGTCACCAGGGCCGGACTTGAACCCTGGGGCCAGCAGGCGGCTGACCCCAACACTTAGCCCCTGCGTGCAGGGTGAAGCTCATTCCCACGCGTGGATATCATCATGACTCTACACCAAATGGTTTCAGGGACTTTTGCCCCACCCATCCCTTCCTCTGCAGCCGCTCCCCGGCCTGCCAGGGGGTGGGAGCCGGGGGTGCATCCGAGCTGTTGTTTGCTGAAGGTTGCAAAATCGGGCCGCAGGTCCCAAAGGTTGTTTTGGGAGTCTGCGGGGCATGGGGGAGCGTGGCAGGGCACAGGCCAGTCCCGAGGGTGGCAGTTCCAACCCCAGGGCAGAGCTGGGCTTTGGCTGGCTGGGCCTGCACTGCCTCCCTCAGCTCTCTTGGCACTATCTCCACGAAAGGGAGATCCCGCAGTGCCCACCACTGGGCCACCCTTCAGAGGGCTCTGTCTGTCTTGGGTCAAGCACAGATGGCCGGAACCTGGACCGACACGGAGATGGCATGCAGACCTGGCAGTGGGAGAAGAGGGGGCGGTTCCCCAGAGAAAGCAGCACCCTCCCCAACTCATGCAAGCCGGAAGCCACGCAGGAGGGCACTCAGTGGACAAAGTGGAGTTTGAAGAGCAGTTTTTTTTGGGGGGCGGGCCAATTGTAATGTGGTGGGATGAGCCTCCCTTGGAGATACCTGCATATCACATCCCATTAAGATGACTGCTGTGGGGCCTGGCGAGGTAGCCTAGTGCCTAAAGTCCTTGCCTTGCACGTGTCAGTTTGTATCCGGGCTGCTCCACTTCCCACCCAGCTCCCTGCCTGTGGCCTGGGCAAGCAGTGGAGGACGGCCCAGAGCCTCGGGACCCTGCACCCGAGTGGGGGACCCGGAAGAAGCTCCCGGCGTGGCCCTGGCCCAGCCCGATAGTAGACACATGGGGAGGGAGCCATCATAAGGAAGTTTCTCGCTGCCTTTCACGTTTATTAAAAATACCGAAGTCCTTTTGTATGACTGTGGCAATAAAAGAGATGTGGGCACCAGCACTGTGGCGTAGTGCGTAAACCCACCACCTGCCAACACCGCCATCCCACGGGGCGCTGGTTTGAATCCCAGCTGCTCCACTTCCCGTCCAGCTCCCTGCCGATGTGCCTTGGCAAAAGCTGTGGAAGATGGCCCCAGTGTGTGGGACCCCGCACCCCTAAAGGAGACCTGGAACAAGCTCCTGGCTTTGTCCTGGCAGGGCTGGCCACTGTGGCTGAGTGAGCCACACTGGGAGGGAGCCAGGCTCTCGTTCCCAATCAGCGCGTCTTGAAGGCCACTGGCTGGTGGAGCCTGGCGGGGCATTTGAGGTTTAATTCTGCAATATGGATGCGTGCTGGCATCCCGTTGCTGGGTGGGTGGGTTGGGGGAGCAGATGTCTGATCCAGGGGGTGTGAAGACCCCCAGTGCCTGGGTGGGAGACCAGCTCCAGCTCCTGGCGCTGGCGCCCTGTGACTGCGGGCAGCAGTAATGGCCCGGGGGTTCGGGGTTCCCGCGGCCTGCCGCGTGGGAGGGACGCCCTGCATGGAGTGAGCTGGTGCCAGGGGGTCAGACTTTGCGTGTAAACACCCCGCACCCCTGGGCCAACGGCTCTCGGGCGGGCAGCGGCGTGGCACGGCTGCTGTGGGCAGCTCCCTGTCACCCCGCAGTCCTGGGTCCCGTCCTGGGGGGGGGTGCAAGCTTTTCCAGACTTTCCTTAGGGCACCCGCACGCTGGCCCTTGTTGACACCGTGTTCTAGTTGCTCTTGGTTCTAGAATGTTCCTCCAGCTTGCAGCACCTTGTAAAGCTGCCCCAGGGAGTGACCCGCCGGGGAGACCCACGCCCTTCTGGGGTCTGTTACCGTATGTCTGCCTGTGGGCACTTGTTTTAAGGTCACCAGGTTGTGACCCAGACCGAGGGAGGGGAGCGTGGACACGGCGTGGGCCCAGCTGGCACGTGGCCATGGCCATGACGGGGCCGCAGGGGCGCTTCCAACAGGACAGCGCGGTCGGATGGGGGAGCCCTGTCCCCCCACGCTTGGTCGGAAGGGCCCAGTCCGTTGCTGGTGCTTATTCATCGTTTTATTTCTTTTAAATATGAAAACATTTCCTCTCTTTCCAGTCCCCTGGAAAGGAGGTCCCTGGGTGGTTTAACAAAGTGGCCCGGGGGGCCTCGGGCAGGGGCGCTGGGCTTGGCCACGGGTCCTGGCAGGCTGGTGGTCCCCGTGGCGGTGGCATTAGGGGGACGCGGGGCGGCCGTCCAGGAGCGGGTGTTGGGGTGCCCTCGGCCGGGGCTGGGCTGCCGCTCACAGCTCGCTGCGCGCCGCCTTGGCCACAATCACCAGCTTGGACAGCTCGGCCTTAAACGCCCCGGGTCTGTGGGCCACTGCAGGACACAGGACACACACCCCGTCAGGCCTTGGGGACCCCGCCCTGTCCCCCACTGCCCCGGCACCCACTCTATCCCCAGGGGCCGGGAGCTGGAATGCTCCCCCACTAGAGCTCCGGGGCCGAGGGGACCACAACGGGGGGCCCTGAGCCCCCCTGGGCTGAGCGAGTGCAGGGCCTCCTCCAGCCCGTGCTGCCCCCCACGCAGGGCTGGGTCCGCTGGCACGGGGCTGCCACCTGCCAGATCTCAGGACCCACCTGACGTCTTGGTCACCTCAAACTCCTCGCTTTTCAGGGGGACGTCGCTCTCGCGCTCAAAGGCGGCTTTAGACTGGAAGGAGACACGGCCGGGCGGTCACCGGGCTGCCCTGTGCCCTCGCCAGCTGCAGGTGGCAGGGGCAGCGCGGGGAGCGCGCGGGGAGGTGGGGACCTCAGGAAGCTTGCGGGAAAGCGGGGTTAACGGAGGTGTGGGGTGGGAGCTGTGGCGTGAGCCCGCCATCGGGGTCCCCGCCACCCTCGCGGGATGCCACCTGCGGTCAGATGAGCAGTCGGGACGGGCCGCGTGCCCCTGCCAGCCCCCCTGCTGCAGGGACCACGTGGGGAGCGACATGCCAGCGGGAGGATCTATTTCCTTTCTGTCACTCTGCCTCAAAGACACTTGCGGGACCAGAAATGCTGCAGGTCAGCAACCTGCCCGTCTGTGACGGGCACTTCCACCAACTTTTTACAGACACCCTGCAGATACGCGGCTTCCCCCCAAAAACGTTCAATGTGGACTTGTTTCTTTGGAAGGCAGAGAGAGCGCGAGCTCCCACCGTCATGGCTCACTTGGCCACGGCCGGGGCTCCAGCGTGGGTGCGTGGGTGCGTGGGTGACGTGGGTCCCGGGACCCCCTGGCCGTGCGCCCTCGCCGCTGCCTCCCACGTCGGGCTCCTCTGCCACGAGGGGACCCTGGCATCCCCCCCGGGTACCACCTCCAGGCCCAGGCACCTGCACGGCGCCATCCCGCCTCCTCCCCAGGTACCCGAGTCCCCTCCAGGAGTGCAGTGGCTGTGTACCCCCCCAGGACCCCTCAGCCCCCCAAGGCTGCCACTCACGTAGGCCATGCCGTATTCAATCTCGGCGCCCTGCACCTCGGCCTTGAACTGGGTGAAGTACAGGTAGGACTTGCCCTGGGGCCTGCGGGGCAAAGGGGGTGCTGGAGTGGCAGGTGGGCAAGCCGGGGCCCGGGAGGGCACCCGGTCGGTGCCCGCTGCCTTCCACGTGCTGCGAGGGAGTCCCAGGACCCCCCATGTATTGGCTTGTCCCAAAATGCCTGTGTGGCACCAGGGTGGACCCTGCGGCTCGAGTACCCACGGGATATGGGCATCTCGGGGCAGACCCCTCACGAGCTCAGCTGTGCCCAAGGTAGGCACTGTGCCCAAGGTAGGCACTGTGCCCAAGGCAGGCAGGGGTGAGGCTGTGAGGATGCGGGTGCCCACCAGAAGGACCAGGGGGTCCTCAGTGCTGGCCTTGCACCAGGAAACCCTGAGCCCACTGCACCGTGGCGGGTTCTGGGGTGAGGCAGCTGGCCGGCGGGGTCCCTGGCGGGTTTGGGGGCGTCGGAGATGGAGTCGATACCTCCAGATGGTGCAGGTGAAATGCTGGTGGTCCTCGCTGGTCCCCAGGCTCATCTGCCATTGCTGCGGGGACACGACAGGCAGGGGGTTAGCCTGCCACTCCCGGGGCGACCCGCCTGCCCCAGGTCCCTGTGCCCGGCAGGGGGACCAGCGTGGCACCTCATGAGGGAGGCGGGCATTTGTGGGGTGAGCCAGCGGTGGGGAGATCTCTCTCAGCCCAACACACACACACACACACACACACACACACACACGAATATTCTAGAAGTGGTGCTGGCTCGGGGACCCCGTGGGATGGGAGCGGGAGGCAGGGCAGCACCCCCCCAACAACCGCGCCCTGACGGGGTGCTCCAGGGGGGCGGCGGCAGCCCCCCGCCATGCCCTCACCTCGTTGGTGCCACCCTGGGATGCGTAGGTGAAGGTGCAGGTGTACCTGTCCTGCGGGCAGGGGAGAACCGGCTGTGACCCCAAGGACGTCTACACCCGCCCGCAAGCACCGCCCCCCAAACCGCCATCACAAACCCCACGGCCCCCCCGACCCTGACCGCACCCCCAGAGCCCTCCCTCACCCCAAAAGCCGCCCTCGCCACGGCCCAGGAGCCGGGGTGCCCTCAGCCTCCCGCACCCCGCGGCCCCTCAGATCCCGTCCCCCCGACCCTCCCGGGGCCCGTGCTCTCGGGGACGGGAGCCCCTTCCCCAGACACCCCAAAAGGACGGGAGCCCCCTCCTCAGACACCCCAAAAGGACGGGAGCTCCTTCCTGAGACACCCCAAAAGGACGGAAGCTCCTTCCTGAGACACCCCAAAAGGACGGGAGCCCCTTCCTCAGACACCCCCAAAAGGAACAGGAGCCCCTTCCTCAGACACCCCAAAAGGACGGGAGCCACTGCCTCAGACACCCCAAAAGGACGGGAACCTCTTCCTCAGACACCCCAAAAGGACGGGAGCTCCTTCCTCAGACACCCCAAAAGGACGGGAGCCCCTTCCTCAGACACCCCAAAAGGATGGGAGCCCCTTCCTCAGACACCCCCTCAGTGACGGGAGCCTCTTCCTCAGACACCCCCAAAAGAGAAGGGAACCTCTTCCTCAGACACCCACTCAGGGACAAGAGCCCCTGCCCCTTCCTCAGACACCCTAAAAGCGACGGGAGCCCCTTCCTCAGACACCCCGAAAGGGAAGGGAGCCTTTTCCTAAGACGCCCCCAAAGAGACAGGAGCCCCTTTCTCAGACACCCCAAAAGCGACTGAGCCCCTTTCTCAGACACCCCGAAAGTGAAGGGAGCCTCTTCCTCAGACATCCCCAAAAGGGACAGGAGCCCTTTCCTCAGACACCCCAAAAGGGACGGGAGCCCCTTCCTCAGACACCCCCAAAAGGACGGGAGCCACTGCCTCAGACACCCCCAAAAGGACAGGAGCCCCTTCCTCAGACACCCCAAAAGGACGGGAGCCCCTTCCTCAGACACCCCCAAAAGGACGGGAGCCACTGCCTCAGACACCCCCAAAAGGACAGGAGCCCCTTCCTCAGACACCCCCAAAGGGACGGGAGCCCCTTCCTCAGACACCCCAAAAGCGACGGGAGCCCCTTCCTCAGACACCCCGTCATGAGGGGAGCCCCTTCCTAAGACACCCCCAAAAGGGACGGGAGCCCCTTCCTCAGACACCCCGTCATGAGGGGAGCCCCTTCCTCAGACACCCCAAAAGCGACGGGAGCCCCTTCCTCAGACACCCCGTCATGAGGGGAGCCCCTTCCTAAGACACCCCCAAAAGGGACGGGAGCCCCTTCCTCAGACACCCCGTCATGAGGGGAGCCCCTTCCTCAGACACCCCAAAAGCGACGGGAGCCCCTTCCTCAGACACCCCAAAAGGACGGGAACCTCTTCCTCAGACACCCCAAAAGGACGGGAGCTCCTTCCTGAGACACCCCAAAAGGACGGATCCCCTTCCTCAGACACCCCAAAAGCGACAGGAGCCCCTTCCTCAGACACCCTAAAAGCGACGGGAGCCTCTTCCTCGGACACCCCAAAAGCGACAGGAGCCCCTTCCTCAGACACCCCCTCAGTGACGGGAGCCTCTTCCTCAGACACCCCGAAAGGGAAGGGAACCTCTTCCTCAGACACCCACTCAGGGACAAGAGCCCCTGTCCCTTTCTCAGACACCCTAAAAGCGACGGGAGCCCCTTTCTCAGACACCCCGAAAAGGAAGGGAGCCCCTTCCCCAGACACCCCCACAGGGACGGGAGCCCCTTCCTCAGACACCCCAAAAGCGAGGGGAGCCCCTTTCTCAGACACCCCCTCAGTGACGGGAGCCTCTTCCTCAGACACCCCGAAAGGGAAGGGAGCCTTTTCCTAAGACGCCCCCAAAGAGACAGGAGCCCCTTCCTCAGACACCCCAAAAGGAATGGGAGCCCCTTCCTCAGACACCCTGAAAGGGAAGGGAGCCCCTTCCTCAGACACCCCAAAAGCGACGGGAGCCCCTTCCTCAGACACCCCGAAAGTGAAGGGAGCCTCTTCCTCAGACATCCCCAAAAGGGACAGGAGCCCTTTCCTCAGACACCCCAAAAGGGACAGGAGCCCTTTCCTCAGACACCCCCACAGGGACGGGAGCCCCTTTCTCAGACACCCCGAAAAGGAAGGGAGCCCCTTCCCCAGACACCCCCACAGGGACGGGAGCCCCTTCCTCAGACTCCCCGAAAGCGAGGGGAGCCCCTTCCTCAGACACCCCAAAAGCGACTGGAGCCCCTTCCTCAGACACCCCAAAAGCGACGGGAGCCCCTTCCTCAGACACCCCCACAGGGACGGGAGCCCCTTCCTCAGACACCCCAAAAGCGAGGGGAGCCCCTTCCTCAGACACCCCGAAAGTGAAGGGAGCCTCTTCCTCAGACATCCCCAAAAGGGACAGGAGCCCTTTCCTCAGACACCCCAAAAGCGACGGGAGCCCCTTCCTCAGACACCCCCTCAGGGACGGGAGCCCCTCCCTCAGACACCCCTCAGGAAGGTGAGACCCTCAGGCCCACTGAGGTCTTGGCCACACCCTCAGGGGGGCGGCGCCAGCATTGTCCAACCATTTCCTAATTAATGAAGAGCCCACCAATGGGGAGCCTCTCAGCTGCAGGCGCCCCGCCCCACAAGGCGGGGCCAAGGAAGGCTTAAAACCCCAAGCCCCTTCCCCAAACCTCTGCTGTCTCTCCCTCCTCTTGCGAGACGCACCCCACTTCCCGGCTTCTTTTCCGGGGGTCTTCCCCTTCTTCCCTTCCCTGCTACCCTCAGAAATAAGCTTTTCTGTTTGCAAGAGATTCCCGACATTTTCTTTCGATACTAAGCTGAGCAAAGAACCCACAGGGCACTTCTGGTAACAGAAGGGAGCCCCTTCCTCAGACACCCTAAAAGCGACGGGAACCCCTTCCTCAGACACCCCCAAAGGGATGGGAGCCCCTTCCTCAGACACCCCAAAAGGGACGGGAGCCCCTTCCTCAGACACCCCAAAAGGGAAGGGAGCCCCTTCCCCAGACACCCCAAAAGGACGGGAGCCCCTTCCTCAGACACCCCGAAAGGGAAGGGAGCCCCTTCCCCAGACACCCCAAAAGGACGGGAGCCCCTTCCTCAGACACCCCAAAAGGGAAGGGAACCTCTTCCTCAGACACCCACTCAGGGACAAGAGCCCCTGCCCCTTTCTCAGACACCCTAAAAGCGACGGGAGCCTCTTTCTCAGACACCCCAAAAGGAATGGGAGCCCCTTCCTCAGACACCCCGAAAGGGAAGGGAGCCTCTTCCTCAGACATCCCCAAAAGGGACAGGAGCCCTTTCCTCAGACACCCCCTCATGAGGGGAGCCCCTTCCTCACACACCCTAAGAGCGACGGGAGCCCCTTCCTCAGACACCCCAAAAGGACGGGAGCCTCTTCCTCAGACACCCCGTCATGAGGGGAGCCCCTTCCTCAGACACCCCGAAAGGACGGGAGCCCCTTCCTCAGACACCCCCTCATGAGGGGAGCCCCCTCCGCCCCTCACGCCCTCCCACCGCTCCCTGCGCGCCCCGCACGCACCCCGGGCCCCGCACGCACCCCGGGCCCCGCACGCACCCCGCGCCCCCCACGCACCCCGGGCCCCGCACGCACCCCGCGCCCCGCACGCACCCCGCGCCCCGCACGCACCCCGGGCCCCGCACGCACCCCGCGCCCCCCACGCACCCCGGGCCCCGCACGCACCCCGCGCCCCGCACGCACCCCGCGCCCCGCACGCACCCCGGGCCCCACGCTCTGGGCGAACGAGTGCACCGCGCCGCCGGGCCGCACGTCGAAGGCCACGGTGCTGGGCTCGGACACGGCGCCCGCCGCGCTCAGCGCCGCCAGCAGCAGCAGCAGCGGGAGCCCCGCGCTGGGCGCCGCCATCTTGGGAACGGGGCTACGGGGCGCGGCGAGGGACACACGTGACCGCGCGCCCGGAAGTCCGCGGGACGCCGGCGTCGCGAGTTCGCGGCCCGTGACCGGAGGGACGCGAGAGGGGCGCCGGTTCGGGGCCCCCGACTTCCAGTTTGGCACAGCTGTGCGGCTCTCGCAGCCATTGGAAGAGTGAACCAGCACACGGGAGACCCTTTTTGTGAATCTGCCTTTCCAAGAAAAAAATGTTTTTGAAATGATTTATTTTTTATTGCAAAGTCAGATATACGGAGAAGAAGATCTGGTGATTCATTCCGCAAGTGGCCGTGGAGCCGATCCGAAGCCAGGAGCCAGGAGCTTTTTCGGGGTCTCCCACGCGGGTGCAGGGTCCCAAGGCTGTGGGCCGTCCTCCACTGCTTTCCCAGGCCACAGGCAGGGAGCTGGGTGGGAAGTGAGGCACCGGGGACTTGAAGCAGCATCTATATGGGATCTCTGTGCATGGAAGGCGCGGACTTTAGCCACCAGGGTAATGCGCCGGGCGCAATAAAAATCGATTTTTAAAAAGTCAGCGTTCGTTGGAAAAGCGGTTGTACAGGAGGAAGGACAGCTCGGTGCGGGGAGCTGGAGGAACGGCTGCTGTGTGTTGTGCGCGCCCTCAAGTGGTGCGGGGTGTGATTGCACCACACCAAGAACCTGAGGCAGGAGCCTTCACTTCCTCATTCCACAGCGCATGGAAGTATAACAGCATAGTTCAAAAATAAGTACAAATAGTATAGGCCCCTTCAGAAAAAAAAAAAAAGTGCTGGAAATCCGGATGGAGTCCAGTGAGGTGGCCCTGGGGAGCAGCCCGGGGGACAAACTGGGTGGACACTGCGATGTGGAGTCGCGGCTGGGACCGTCGTCCTCTTGGGGGCACCCACCTTCTGCGAGCCAGACCTCAGCTCCCCACCGAGCCTCTGCCGGGCCAGCCCACCCACCCGACCGCATCCACGGGGGCGGCCGGCAGGTGCTGCATTCAGCGCGCAGTGTTTGTCCATGTGGAATCGTTTAATGAGTCCTATTTCATACACGCATAATTATAAAAGAATAAGAATCGACAAAAATATTTTCTTTCCATGATATGTAGAGAGGATTTGTTTTTTTTGGGGGGTGGGGGGAATCTTAAATTTTTTTTTTGCCTGAATTCTTGGGGGGGGGAAGGGAAAGCAGCTCTGAGGTGGGAGTGACCTCAGGCCCCCCCCAAGCCCCGGAATCCCTGGCATGGACGGGCAGGTGTGGGGGGCCGGGGTCTGGGCTGGGGGCCGTGGCTGCTGACAGGCAGAGCGGGGGGGAACGGGGGAGCCCCAGCAGCTCGGGTGCCTTGGTCTGCAGCTGTCTCCCGCAGGGCCTTCGGGGGCCAGAGTCCCACCACAGCCCCTGATTCTAAACTGAGGCACCCCCTTACTTTAAAGTAATTACTTAAAATATCCCCCTCCCCGCAAGCAAAGCACACACTTGAAGTCGGGGGGCTGGCGGGGACAGGCAATCATTGCATGCTTCCGAGCTGGGGACGGCGGCGGGCCGGGTTGTGGGGGGCACTGAGGGGCCACGGGGCAGACCAGGGGCCTGGGTTCTTCAGGCATCTTCTGCTCCAGCCTTCTTCTGGTGAAAGGTGGTGGGGACAGGGAAGGGGTGGCGCCCATGGCCCCACTTGGCCGCTGTCCCTGCCGGTCACCGACCACCGAGCAGCAGCAGCAGCAGCAGCAGCAGCAAGCGGAACGGATTGCAGGCGGGTGATGGAAGGCTTCGGGGCAGCGAAGGCGGTGGCTCCTCCGGGTTGCAGGGCTGTCGGGCGGCCGGTGGGAAGGGCCGGCTCTCTCAGTCCATCCGCCCGGTCCCTGGTGGCGGTGGTGGTGGCGGTGGTGGCTGCAGCCCCTTGTGCTCTATGTGGAGGCCCCAGGCGGGTGGGCGGGCTGAGGTGGAGGCCACGGGCGCGCACTCACAGGTACTCTTGCAGGAAGTGCAGCAACGTGACCTCATAATGCTCACCCGACTCCGGGCAGCGAATACTGTGTCTCTCATTGGGGTAGATCTGTGTGGAGTGGAGGGGGCGGTGTGGCTTAGGCTGTGCCCCCCCCCCGCCCCGTTAGGCTAGCCACCCTTCCCCTGGGTTCGAATCCCACTTTTGCCACCTGCTTGACCACCCCCTGGGCCTGCCCCGTTGGTTAGGAGTGCATGAGCCATAGGGGAACAGGGGGGATGTCCAGGCTTACAGAGCTACGGCTTGCCCACGTGTACCAGACTAAACTGGAAACCGACAACCTCCTTCTCTCAAACCCATGAAGGGTGAGGGACCAGGGATGTGGCAGCCTGCATCCCTGGGCCTTCGGGTCTACCAGTGGCCACGCCCACATGTCCACACTGCACGCATGGCTTATGCTCTTGCGCCTCAAGCCCTGGCTTCGTGCAGCGTTTCTGGGTCCTCCGATCACCCACAGGGCCGTCAAGCCCAGAGTGGCAGCTATACCCTTAGGACTTGACTCAAGCGACACCCTGCAGGGGTGCAGGTCTTGTGTCTGACCATAAAGTGGGGCTGTTGGGACAGGCAAGAAGCCCACTACAGCCTCCGCTCTCGTCCCCTCCTGCCCACCCACAGTCCCGGGAAGCTTGGCACCCCTACCCCCGTTCAATGGCTTAAAGCCCACAGGATGCACCCCGCAGGACAGAGCCAGGGCTGGAAGGAAGGGCGCTCCCAAAGCCCCCCTTCTTTCCCACCTGTGGACTCTGTCCTGAAGCCCCAGGGACCCCCTCTTTCAAAATGGTAAGGGTGAACGCCATTGAGCCTCCACCCTCCCTAGAACCCTGACCTTTGTGGCTGAGGGCCTCCCCCAAACCCAGCCAAGCAGCCCTTTCTACTTCCTTGGCAGGAAGCCCCGCCCACAGCCACAGGCCCCACCTCCCCACCAGAGCCCCCCCTCCTTACCCCTGAAGCCTCCGCCTCCCTGCTCCTCCCCCACTGGAAGCTCCCCCCCTCACTCAACTCCACAATCCCACCCTCAGGAGCCATCTGAGCCTATGGCTGCTGACTCCCTCAGGCCACCTTGGGATCTTCCTCCCAGCTTTTGGTATCCAGTGGCAGGCAGTGGTGTCCTGGTGTGAGCCGGGGAGGGTCTGGCCCACACCCTACATGGCGCCCCTAGCACCCAAGGCTCGGGGAGAGGGGCGGGGGGGGGGACAGGAGCATGAGGCAGAGGGTGCTCAAGAACTGGGAGCCCAGGGAGAAGTGGGGAGCTGGGCGAACACCTGAAGTCCCAGCCTGGAACAACAAGTGCAGCAGAAGCAGCCCTGCTCTCCCTACTGCCTGGCCAGACCGGCGGGGGGCCCAGATGTGCTGGCTCATGGGGTGGGGCCTATGGCACCAGGGGCACCCACCTGGAGTTGGTAAGGTTTCCCGGCTCGGATCAGCTGGGACACAAGGAAATTTGTGTGGAAGAAATGTACATTTTCGTCCAGGAAGCCATGGAGGATGAGCAGACGGTTGGGTCTGGAAGACAAAGTTGGGATGAAGGGTGTGAGGTTGGGATATGGCAAAGGGTGTGAAAGTAGGGCCGTATTCAGGCAGGCAGGAAGGCAGGGTATCTCTCAGGGGGTGTAGTAGGTGGAGATGGGGGGGCGAGGGAAGACACTGGGAGGGGACAGGAGGCAGCAGAGGGCTGGGGGCAGGCGGTGCCTTACTCATTGGGCAGCTTCTCCACGTGTAGGGCCACGGAGCCCGCCTCGTAGCCGTGCTGGTTGTTTTCTGGGACGTCCATGTAGCGCTCCGTGTACCCCGTGTCGTATGCCATCCACACAGTGACGGGGGCACCCGCGATCGCCACCTGCAGGATATGCGGGACATCAGGTCCTCGGGGCCCCCACCCCCGGGGGACCTGGCCTGCGGTCATGCAGGTGGAGAGGGGGTGGCGTGGGACAGGGGGGCTCTGAGACCGTGTGTCCCGTGGGGACAGGGTGTCGTGGGGGGCAGGGAGGTGCTTGCCAGAGCGGAGGGCCCGGCCACCTCCTTCCTGCTCCTCTTCCTCCTCATGGCCACGACCCGCAGTGCCCGGACAAAGCGCCACCGGCCTGGGGGGCCCCTCCCCCGACGCCGCTCACAGCATGCCCCACCTCTGCCCATCCGAGGCCGGGGTCCCAGGCTCAGCCTCCCAGACAAAGCTGCCGGTGGGGTTTTGTGCAGCCGGATGTCATCCTGGGGTCGGCGGTGGCGGGCAATGAGGAGGGGGGCTCGGCCCCGGGGGGCTGCTGCAGGGAGAAACAGCCACGTGGCAGGACCCCTGCCCAGGCACCTCCCCGAGGGGGGCGGGCTGCGAGTGGCCCCAGGACGGGTGTGGGGGGCGGCTGGGAGGCCGGGCCAGGCTGGGGCAGGGGGCACCTTAAACAACTAGGACTCACGGACGAGCCAGATGAAGGACAGGGGGCGCGCAGCGGGGGCCAGGGGACAGGGCAGGCCGGACCCACCTTGAACACCTGGGGCTTATGGATGAGCCCCATAAGGGACAGAAAGCCTCCGTAGGACCAGCCGTGGATGGCGACGCGGCTGAGGTCGATGAAGCCGTACTTTTCAGCCACAAACTGCAGGCCCTCCACCTGGTCTTCAATCTCCACCTGGCCCTGGGGGAGAAGCCGGGCACTTTCAGCCCCAGCTCAGTCCTCGTGGTAAAGGCTTCTCCCTGAGTGCCCCCTCACCGCCACCCAGGGCCCCTTTTGGCTGGAATGCCAAGAAAGCCAAGGTCCCTCCGTCACAACCGGGAGACAGCAGGCGCCCTGCATCGGACTGGGGCTCAAGTGACACGACCACGAGCCCTGGCCCAGGGCGGGCATGAGGCCAGCTCCAGGGCTCGGCAGGTCAGCGGCCTTTTCTGGATTTTGTCCTCCACATAGGGGCAGCCAGCAGGCCCTGGCAAGCAGGTAGAGAACAGCCCTCGATGGACACCAACCACGACCCTGAGGGCGCCCGGGGCTTGGCACCGCCTTGGCACCCTGGGCTTGCAGAATAGACTGCTGCTCCTTCTGAGCGGCCCAGGCTGTGATGGTCAGCCTTCACCATCGTCGCTGCCAGCCTAGCACCCATAGCCACTGGACCTTTTGCAGTCCTTGTGGCTGTGGCTTGAACATGGGGTGCGTGTAGAGACCACATTCTCCCGGGTGTAGGCGGCACGGATGGGACGTGTGTCTCCCAAGAGCCTGGCTCAGGGTCGCCTCCCTGAACCCCGAGTGCCGGGCACCCCACGTCCCTCCCGTCTGACGCCTGGCACGTCGTGTCAGCCATTACCATCTGGTTTTTGAGGGCCCCTTCAAAGCGTAGCCCCCGCTGGCATGAGCCCCTGCCATCGATGACGACCACGGCATAGCCCAGCGATGCCAGCGTGTTCAGTCGCAGGTACTTGATGCCTTTGAAGGAGTTGTTGACCAGCTGTACCTGCAGTGGGGGGGCTGGTGAGCCAGGCCGGACTGGAGGGGATCGGGCCTGGGGCCCTTGGCCGAAATGGCCACCCAGAGGGGCCTGAGAGAACAGGGCTGGGACTGGGGGTCGTGTGTGTGTGCGCGTTGCGGGGTAAGGGTCACAGGCGGTTAGACCGAACGGACATGGTCAGGCACAGGGGAGGGAGGCCTGACCTCCGGGCTCTGACTTGGCACACGGGGCCACAGGACAGGCACCCACCTGCGGGCCCCCGTACACAAACAGCACGGTGGGATGCTTTCTGCCGGGTTGCACGGAGTGTGGCTTGTAGACCATCCCGTACAGCCGCACGTCCGACCGCGTGTGGAAGTGGAAGATTTCGGGGGGTATGTAATCTGGGGGGCAGCCTGCGGGAGAGAGAGCGGCTGTGTCTACACAGCGTGGGTGGCATCGGCTTGCAGCGCGCAGCCCCACTACCCGGAGGGGGCGGGCATCCCGTGGCCTCCAGGGATATAGCCCTGTTCCACCTCAACAACTGGGGCTGCTCCGCCAGGACCCCCAGGGTCAAGCACCACGGTGGGCTTCGATCTGCCCAGGGAGCTGGCCCAGTCTGCTTGGCAATGACACCTACCGCCCCCTGCCCTCCCTCCCTCCCTCCCTGCTCTCTCGGGGACCCGGCTACTCACTGGCCGCCTCCATCATGCTGGCCCAGAAGCGGGGCTGTTTGTGCAGGGGGTCGTGGTCGGGGCCGCTGAGTTTATACACGTGCACACAGGGCGGTGTGCTCACGCTGCTGTAATGGCTGACGAACATGTCAAAGTTCTGTGGGCGGGGCGGGGTGGGCCTTGAGCAGCAGGGCCTGACCTCCCTCCATCCCTACACGAGCCCTGAACGCACACCCGTGCACACCACACACACACACACACACACACACACACACACACGACCTCAAGCCCCACCCATCACTCCATTCTGCTGACAGAGACCTGCGCCGGCCCCAGGGATGGGCACTGTCCTCTTCTGGAATGTTCCCAGAGGCCAAACGCCACCCAGAGCTCTGCAAAAAAATACCGCCTGCCCCCCCCCCCCCCCCCCGCCCTGCCCATGCCAGGGAGGGGCCCACCTGGCTGACGGAGCAACTGTGGGAGAAGCCGGGCGTGGTCAGGCGCACGATCTCGCCGGCTGCCTCGTAGCTGACCACGTACAGGTGGTGCTCCAGCGGCGTGTCCTTCGTACCTTGGAAGTACACCAGCTTGGTCTCCTCGTTCACCCAGATCTGCAGGTGTACACGGGGCCCCTCGTGAGGCAGCCCCGCGCAAGGCCTACACTGTCCCTGCCCGCCCACTGACCCCCTGCACCCACGTGGGGTGGACCAGGAACGCCAGGAGCACCTCTGGCCTTGGCAAGGGGAGGACAGGGGTGCCCAGGCCTGCTGCGGCTGTCGGTCAGTTCACGCCCCTGACACAGGCGCTTGGCTCCTTGGAAACTCCCTAGGGTGCCCCTTTGGCCTCAAGATGGGCTGTCCCGAACCCCTCAAAGCCCAAAGGAGAAATAGTCCAATGTGGACATGTCATCACCGGAAAGGACTCAAGGGGTGGCCAGTGACCCTGGAGAGGGGCAGGCGCCAAGGACCATGGCAGGCTCATGGCGGGCAGGCGGGCAGTGGGGCAGCGGGGGGGGAGGGCGGCTCAGGGGGTCAAGCTGCCTCATGACCCCTCGCCCTTCCGTGGGCTTCAAAAAAAGTAGAGTGAAGAGCGAGGCCGAGTCCAGTCGGGTGGCTTGTGGTGGCCCGTGGGATCTGCCGTGGACTGCGCTCTGGACGCCTGAGCATGGAGGAGTGGGGGACTACTGGGGGTCCCCTTGAGGAGGGCAGAGCTGACTGGTGGGCTGGGGCAAAGCTCAGAGGAGGGGACAGTGCTATCTGGAACAATCTGGAATGATCCAATTCTTAGGATAAATGCCAAGGCACTTGGGGGCCGCTGGACCCTAACCCTAACCCTGGCAGTAGTTCGTCCCCGGCCAGCGTCCATTCAGAGGCGGCCTGGGGCTGGGCAGTTGCACAAAGGGAGCGTTATTCATCCGGGATTTCTCCTACATGCCATCTCTGCCCGCTTCTTGGCTTCAGGGTAGAAGTTGAACTGCACACTCCAACTCGTGGGTGAGCCAGTGCCAGGCTGTGTGTGTGTGTGTGTGTGTGTGTGTGTGTGTGTGTGTGTGTGTGTGTGTGTGTGTGTGTGTGTGTGTGTGTGTGTGTGTGTGTGTGTGTGTGTGTGTGTGTGTGTGTGTGTGTGTGTGTGTGTGTGTGTGTGTGTGTGTGTGTGTGTGCCATCGGGGGGCTGGGGTCCACTGGCCACCGATAAACCTTCCCGTGACTGACCTTGACCTTCCCGGCTCCCGCACAGAGCTGTGAGCCTAAGATACAGCGTGACACCCCGCAGCAGGTGAGCAAGGCCCTGGGTGTCTCCCCGGGACTCCTCTTGCCTGCCGTGCATGTGGCAGTCGGACCCTGACACACTGCACAGGGAATCTGCTGCAGATGCACACGCCAAGTGGAGACGTCCTAGGAATGCCTGGACCTGGGGCTGCTGGGACACAGGACACGTGGGGGTGCTGGGACAGGGTCGCCTTGCCCTCCCAGGGTCACCGAGCCAAGCGGCTTCAACTGGACTGCATGTCGGGGAAGGACCCAGTCGTCCCTCCCGCCAGCTCCCCTGCCTCCCCCAACATCTTCCTCAAGGCTGCCGAGGGCAGCTGCCTCGCTGTCTGTAACTTCTGACCACGAATGTGCAGGTTTTGCTGGGAGGCAAGGACGAAGCAAGCCGGGTGAGGGACCCCCGCCTCCCGTGTGAGACGCAGCGTTCGCCGAGGAGGCTGTGGTCACATCTTATTCACACTCCACGTCGGGGAGGGGCCGCCTGAGCCCCCCATAACCCCGCATCGGAGAGAGTAGTGACCAGAGCCGCCCTTCTCCCAGGGTGCGGGAGGGACCCTAGGAATTCCAGCGGGGAAGGGGACGACCTAAGGCGGGGGGCCTCAGGCCAGCCCCTGCACCTGATCTCCAGCTGGCCCGGGGGCTCCCGGATGCAGAGCGCACGTGTGCGCATGTGTCTGCCTGCATGTGCGTGTGCGTGTGGCAAGGGCTGCAGGAATTCTGGTACCTTGGAACCGTGCCTTGCCAAAACCTCCCATTCGCCGCTGGTCAGGGCCACCTCCTCCTTTATGGGGCATTTGAATTCATCTGGAAGGAAGGAAAGAGACGGAGGGTCAGGGGACCTGGCACACGGTGGCATGGAGTCCCCAGTCCCCAGAGGGGCTCAGGGACCTGCTAGATTAGGCCTGGTGCCTTTTTTTTTTCCTGGAATCTGCTCATTTTAGAGAAAGCTGAATGACAGATAACGTGTATGGCATGTCCGATAGCCAGGCTACCTTCTGGCCCGTGACCTTGGGGTAGCCAGGTGATCTGCTGCCCAGGCCGGGGTTGGCAAGGCCTGTGGGACAGCGGACGAGGAGGGCCTGGGCTGGCTCCACGACCTCTCTGCCAACGTCCCAGCAACAGTGACAGCAGCGGTAGCGGCCGTGGCTGGTCACCTCTGCCCGAATGCCTCACCAGCTGACGTCCAGACGGGTCCGGCCTAAGACCTGGGTCGAGCCATATGCCCGGCAGTCCTTTCTGCTCGGCTCCTGCCCTCAGGGTGCCCTGGTGACTCCCTGTGGGCATACGTGCCTGGATGTGCTCGGCTGGGCCTGCTCCTCACACGGTCACCTAGCTCCCCGAACAGGCGGCCCCTGCGTCAGCCTCTGATCCCTCCCACACCACGGACCCCTCAGGGTGGCCTTCAGGCCTGCCCGACCCCGCACGCGGAAAACATCCATTCCCTCTTGCTGACCCAAATCTGTGCGACTGGTGGCAGGCTCGTGGTGGGAGGCCCGGGCAGCTGGGAACTGGGGCGCTGCCGACAGAGGATGCATGGAGAAGTAGCCCAAATCCCTAGGTGGGAGTGGCCCACTCTGGGGTGAACGCCTAAGTTCCTGCCTGCTTCTCAGAGCAGCAGGCTGCCGGACACCTCCTGGGTATCCACACTGCTTGATGCTCTTGAATGCCAGCCCACTCCGCCGTGAAACGGTGTGGCCTCAGCTGGCAGGGCACACACACACTCCCACCCACGGGGATAGCGTGCCACCCCTGGCTGGGGCCCCAACAGCATGGGCACAGCATCCTGTTTCAGGGTTAGCTCAAATCCGTCCCTTGGCGGCCTGTCCTGTCCCGTCATGCCTGTTGCTCCTGCATCCCTGGCTCCCCCACCTCCAGCCACGTGGGCCTCCTGGCTGCTCCTCTGCCCCGCCAGGCTCGGGCCCACCCCAGGGCCTCTGGCAGCGGTCACGGGCACCTCTTTGCTGCCCGTTTTTGGGTTCTACGTGTGCACAGGAAGAAGCCTGACCCCCTGTTCCGAAGGCAGGCCCCTCACCTGGGGACTCTCCCCTGCTGAACTTCCTGCCCCCCCACTCCCCTACACCCCAGAGCCCACTCACTGCTGGGGGGGGGCCGCTCTCCACTCCCACACTGGAAGACCCCCCCACTGCCTCCAAGGGTGAGGCAGAAAGGGCCTATGGGCTGTACTGGCCCTGGCTCACCCTCACTGGGCCGGAGGGGCTGAGCCCAGTCATAGCCGTGGGGCTTCAGGAGGGCTGTGACCTTGTAGAGGTGGCAGAAGCCAGTCTTGCATTCGTTGGCACGGAGGAAGCAGAATTCCTCCTGGCCTTCAGGCTGCGAGAAGGGGTAGAAGATGTCGTGCACCTGCGGGGCGGGGCGGGAGAGAGCAGAGCCGTGAGCAGGCGCGGGGTACGCAGCCCAGTCCCGTGCCATGCGGGACGAACCCGGCCGGCCCCCTTACGTTGATCCAAACATTGGTGACTTCTTCGTACACGACGTAAGGCTGGACGTCCCGGGGCACGGCCCTGGCGAACGCGGCCCGCTGCTCCTCGCTCTCCGGGGTCGGGATGAACAGCGCCGGGGGTAGCAGCACCAGCTGCAGTCGCTGCTGGGGCCGGTCCAGGAGCATGGCCCAGGCGCTAGAGGAGGCGGGCAGAGCCTTGAGCTGCCAGGCTCAGGGTGGACAACAGCAGGAGCTGGAGCAGGCACTGCCCCGTGGGATGCACGCCAGCCCCAGGACGGACAACTTTCTAACTTCAACTTACGCTCCCCGGATGCAAAGGACACATGACCGCATGACAGTGTAAACGGATGTGTATCCAGGGGAACCCCACGTGGAGTGCCGAGTCTGGAAACGCTCCCCAGGCTGGCACCCCGGACCCCTCCTCTCAGGTGTAACTGGGTGGTGGGCGGTGCCCTGGGGTCGGCTCCACGGCCATGAGGTACACAGCTCACGGCGTTCTCCGCCACGGCTCTCGGCTGCCAGTGGGCTGCCGTGCCAACAACAGGCCCTGTGCCTGTGGATGCCAGTGTGTGAATTTCACATTGCTTTCACAGGCGAGGACACTGTCCTTGGATTCCCACATCTGCAAACCCTCTGACAGCCCACAGTGGGTTACATACTGGCCCGCCGGGGACTGGTTGGCTAGGGGAGACGTGAAAGGGGGTTTTTCTCCCTGGTTGGAGGCAGGAGGTGTGAGAAGTTGATGAAGGAGCCTCCGCCAGCCCTTTATGCAGGGGCGATGCCCCTTGCTACCACGTCCTGGGGACAGCGGCCTGTGTCCCCGGGAGCAGGTGGCATGGCGTTGGCCCACCACGAGGGCCCAGGTTGCAGGCTGCAGGTGGGATGCCCCGGGTGTGCGGGGATGCTTGCTACCATATCCTGAGGCCATTGGTCTGTGTCCCCGGGAGCAGGTGGCACGGCCCCAGCCCACCGCGAGGGCTCAGCTGCTGCAGCTAGACACTCACTATTTGCCATCTCGGGTCCAGCCGGCCCGGGCGATGTATTCCACCCGGGGAAACAGCATGCTGAATGGTTGCACCAGCTCCTTCTCCTGCGTTGAAATGATCTAAGGAGGAGGAGGAGGAAGAGAATGGGGTGGATCTCAGCGTGGCTGCCCCGCGCAGCCTGGCCAGGCTGGTGGGAGGTGGGCTATGTTATGTCCCTGACACCCTTCGAGTCTTAAAATCCTAGGATCGGAGGACGGGGTGATCCATGAGGGTGACCACATGGGTTAGGGAAGACCCCACACTAAGACAACAGGAGTCCTTGCAGAAGACACGGACACCCCCTGATGTCCCCCCCAAGATAGGGAAAGCCGCCCTCCTGCTGTGAGCCAGGGAGAAGCCCATGGATGGGCAAGGGGTATTGGACAAGTCAGGGCCAGCTAGTGCCCAAGGCGGCAGCGTCCGTCTACGCTTGTCCCCACGGTGGGGTGGAATGCACAGCCAATAGGCTGCAGCTTCTCTGAGTTCCCAGGGCTGGCATGGCACCACCATGTCAGCCCCTGCCCCTGACACTGCCTTCCTGGGCGGGGAGAACCCAAGTATTTGATGTCACGGAGGTGACACAGAAGGCTCTAGCAGCCTGCCTGTCCCAGGAGGGTCCAGGGAGTTGACTCGTGTTGGGGTGGGACATGGCCCATCCGAGGACAGGATCCTAGGTCCCAAGTTGGGTTCTCCTGGGAGAAGCAGTCCCAAGGCTCAAAGAAGGGAGACAGACGCTGGGTGCTGGGGTGCTGGGGTGCTGGGGTGCTGGCATGCTGAACTTGCTGTAAAGGAACCTGCCGTGGAAAGATCCCACAGTTGGCCCAAACGGCCCGTCCCCATTGCTTCTGGAAGTTCCAGAAGCTTCTGGAAGCTTCCTGGGCCCTCCTCACCTTGCCCTCGCTGTCGGTCTGAAATTCAGCCAGCTTCAAGGCAATCTTGGGGTTCTTGCTACCTGCAGAAACCAGAGCAGGTTGGATGGCACCGCCTGCCTGATGGCACCCAGGGGAGGGAGGGACAGGCACGGTGGCCAGGGGAGAAGCAGGGGTCGGCGGGAGAAGCTGGAGTAGAGGCGTTGCCCTAGGCACGTAACCCCACAGGCAGGCGCTCTGACGGGGAGCTGGGGTGGTACACTCAACAGGCACGCAAGGCCTGCTTTGTCTCTAAGAGCAGATCTTGTCCTGGGGGGGTCTAGAGGTGACGTGGCCAAGCCAGGACCCCTCAGGAGGCCGGTGCCTGTGGGCTCGTCCGGCAGATGTGCGGATGGGTGCGCAGAGCCCGCCCCCATCCAGCGTGAGCTGTGATGGCCGCGCACCCAGAAAGCCAGCCAGTTTGCTCATAGCGCCTCCGCGTGTCAGAGCAGGTCAGGACCAGGAGGCAGGGGGCACAGACAGGGGGGCACACGTACGTCCCATTAAATGCCAACACCTTGCCCTGGCTCATGATGGCACCTGGGGCAGCAGCTAAACTGCCCACTTTCGACAGCACAGGGCTTGACCTTGGGCCCTGGCCGCTCAGCTTCAGACCCAAGCTTGCTGGGGACGCACACGCCGGGAGGCAGCAGTCTTGGGATCCTGCCACCCAGCCACGTGGGAGAGCCAGGCCGTGTTCTGGGCACCGGACCTGAATTTGACATCACCCTGGCTGCTGTTGGGCATATGAGGAGCGAAACAGCACGTGGGATCATCTCTCTACTGTTGCAATAAAGTGAAAATAAAACACCTCGAGCCGAGGACTGGGGGCCTTCCTGTGTGCAGGCTGGGCTTCCGTCAACCCGGGCGTTGTACTGACACAGGCGACAAGCGGCCCGCTGCTCTGTCCTTCCCCACGCCTTCCTGAGGCCCCCGGCTTGGCTGGGCCGCGCCCGGGCACACACCTGTCCTGGGGTAGCGGTATGAGTCCGTCTTCCTCTCCTCCAGGGCGGGCGACGGCACGTGGATCACCTCCACCTCCGACTCGTCCACTTCTTCGTACAGGAGCCGCAGCGTCTTGACGCCGTCGGAACCTGGCAGGGGGCGCGGGGACTGCTCAGGCTCCTGGGAGGTGGGCCGGAAGCCCTGTCCTCACTCTGCTCCTTTCTGGTGCTACCACGACTGCGTCCCCAAAGGGAGGGCCTGGGCTCTGGCCCTTGCTGCCCCTTAAGCCTGCCACCAGTCCGGGCTCCCCTCTGGGTCCTGGTTCCCTGACCTGTGTCCAAGGAACGGGGACAGAGCCGCCGCAAGCAGGGGACAGCCTGGGAGGTGCCACCACGGGGCAGAAGGGGTCCGCGTTTTGCCCTGTGGTTCCAAAGAGCCGACCCTGGGACTCAAGAACATGGCTGCACCAGACGATGGGGTGGGGGGTGTTGTCACTGAGACAGACCCCGAGCCACCTGCTAGGAGGGTCTGCGCGGGAAGACGAGCTCAGCACACGGACGCGATGAACAACCAGAGGGTGCTACTGTGGACGCCCGACCCTGAGCCACCTGACTCCCCACCAGCCCCGAGCAAATCCCATTTCTGGGGTTCAGTCCCCCAGTGGGTGGCGTGTAGGACTGGGCACCCCGGAGGAGATGTGGGAGGTCATCCCGGCTGTGGTGCCACGTGGCTACGGTCAGGAGGTCCTAGGGCTTCGAAAGCTGGAGCCCGACTGGCAGCGTGGCAAACCGCCCAACGACTTACACGACCCAGCAGCGTGCATGAGGATGGCGGCTCGGATGGGGGCATCTGCAGCAGCTGTGCAGGCAGCTCGGCCGGCTGCCCTCCGGCCACCCCAGAACTGGCGAGAGGCACCGTTCCTGCTGGCGCTACTGGTTTCCCACTTGCCGTTGGGATGCCACTAGGGGTCCACCCCGCATCCGCCATGGGAACGGCCGGGCTCAGCTTGGGCCTACAGCTCCCTGACGGGCACACACCTTGGGGAACCTGGATGGAGCTCCTGGCTCCTGCCTGTTGCTGCTGTTTGAGGAGTCAACCCCAAGGAGGAAATGCCAGGGCTGTACCTTCCCAGGAGGCTGTGGGGCACCACCAGTATCCCGTGAAACGGTCGAACTCCTCCTGGATGACGAAGGTAGCCACCCCTGCAGACTTGGGGTCATCCAGGACATTGGACAGGCCTGGAAAGGGCAGGGTGGGAGGAGGGGTGAGTGGGCTCCTGGGACCAGGTCAGAGCACGGGGATGGGGGGGTCACAGTGGAGGGGGTGGTCACAGTGAAGGGGCGGCTCACAGCCAGCCTCTCGCCCACCCACGGGAGTCGGGGGAGACAGGAAGTCCAGGTCGTGGGGAGGGCTGAGGTCGGGGTCCAGCAGTGGCCGGGTGAGTGTGGACAGCCAGGGAGAACACGGGCACACCCGGATGGGCAGCGCGGTGGGGGTACCTGGGAGGTGCCGACCCCCCTCCCCGCCCCGCCCCGGGCTCACCCCTGTGGCAGAAGGTGAGTCGCCGCTCCTCTCCCGTTTCAATGTTGGCCACCCACAGGTCGCTGTTGTTGATGAAGGAGAAGAAGGCGGGGTCGGCAGGGCAGATCTTGGGGTCCATGCGTGGCCCCGAACACTGGGTCTTGATTTCCAGTGGCTTCATGGGAGACACCTGGGGAGGCAGAGGCCAGCTTGGGGCACTGCGCGCGCGCGCACACGCGCGCCATCACGCACACGCGCGCCATCACGCCCGGTCCCCTCGCCCGCGCTGCGCGCGCACACACGCCCTCGCAGCCCCCCGCCAGCTCCCCGCAGCGCCCAGGCAGGCGCACCATGAAGCCGTTCTTGCCGCCATCGCGGCAGTGGAAGAGGCTGTTGCTGGCTTGGAAGAGGAAGAGGCCGCTCTCGCTGTGGAAGTCGTAGGAGGTGATGCCGAAGACGCCCAGGCGCTTCCGCTCCCTCAGCAGCTCTTCCTCCCGCGAGTACACCCCGTGGTGCGGCGTGGCCTGCAGACACACGCGGGCAGGGCCTCAGTGCCTACGCACACATCCTCAGGCCTGGGGTGGCCTCCCTCCCCTACAGTGGGAATCCCGGGGTGGGGGGGGCGTGTTATGCCTGCTCCCCATCACTGTCTGGGAACCTCCTCTACCTGGCACCTTCTGTGATGGGGGCTGCCGGCATTGGAGCTTTCTGCCAAGGCAGGGGTGGGTGCCATCCACGAACCCATGGTGGGGCAGCCATGCGGGCTCACGTGGCATAGTTGGACTGAGGGTATGTCGTCCCGGCCCCTGGGGCCTTCATGATCGAGAAAGGACCAAGCATCAGGTGCCTGGCCCCACTCCTGATCCCAGCTTCCTGGTACCACATGGCCCTGGGGGTAGCACGGAGGCCTCAAACGCACAGGCCCCTGCCGTCCGCATGGCGGCCCGGGATGGAGTTCCTGGCGCCTGGCCGGGAACCACTGCAGCCATCTGGGAAGTGAACCAGCAGATGGAGGGTCTCTTGCCACGACTTCTAGAAAGTGCCAGAGACGCAGCAGCATGGAAGACCACTCATCAATCATTAGCCCGTGCCCATTAAAGCGCTGAGCCCTGGTGCCCTGGCACACAGGGCACCGATGCTGCTGCTAAGGCCCTTATCACACACCCATGGGCAGAGCCTCACGGGCAGTGGCAGTGGGTAGGGGATGCTGGGTGTGCGGGGAGGGCCGGGCAGCTCGGCCTTTGCCCCCTAGCCCTGCCCGGGGAGCGCCTGGCTCACCTGGAAGTGATCCAACATCTGTTTCCAGGACAGCAACAGCAGGGCCTCCTTCCGGACCTTTCGAGGGATCTCGGAGTACAGGAGGGAGTTCTCCCGGCTGCCGTAGGGCATCCCTGCAGGACACACGGGCAAGGCTGTAGCTGTGGGGATGGCCGTGAGCGGCTCCGTGTGGCGGGGCCTTCCCTTGGCTTGGCTCCTAGGTCGTCCCACAGGCTGCTGGGCGCCCCCAGAAAACCAGGGACCCACAGCCTGAGCCCAACGCACATCCTGTGACCCTGGGCCGTCATGTGTCGCAAGCTGTGGGGGAAAACGGTCCCAAGGCCACAGAAGGAGGGCAACAGGGGGCCCCACTCCCCAAGTCTTGGGGCCCAGCTCTCCATGTCCCTTACCCAATGAAGGCTGCAAGGAACCCAGGGCTGCAAGCAGCGTTCTTGCCTCGGTACCCCCCAGGGGGCAGGGCCATCCTGGACGCCGCAGGACACAGACTGGCATCCCTCGGGCCCCCACCCCCGCTCTGGGCCACCAGTGCCCGTTCATGTCCCCACGTGTGGGCCTGGAGGCGGCGGGACAGAACCGACTAGCCCGAGGGCTGCCGACTGAATCTTTTTCTACAGGGGGCCACCGGTGACGTCACGTGACGATCTGACACCATCAGCAACCGCCCTGGGCAGCTGTGCTGTCCACACCTGCTGCTCCCCGCCAGGTGATGGCAATGGCAGCGGGCACAGTGGGCCACGCCAGTGAGCATCGCATCAGCAGGTGGAATGTGACCGACTCTTGGGTGTCCCTGGGCACTGGGTGTAGGAACAAGCTGCCCAGGGGTCAACACTGGGGGACGATCAAGGCCGTTCGGTGTTGGTCAACATGACCACAGCAACCTGGTTGTGGCTGCTATGCCGGGTTGCCAAGGCTGTACCAGCTGTACAGGTGCCCGGGTCAGGTACCACATTGTCTCCTGAGCACTCCTGGCCCTTGGAACGTCGGCTCGGCAGCTGTGGTCCTATGGACACGTGCTCTGGCCGCTTAGCACGCCCTCACTCCCCTCGTCAGACGCTAACACGACTGGGCCGCCCAAGCAGTGACCCCAGAGGCACGTGGGGGTGATTCTGCGATGGTAACATGCAGAGAGACGGGAGGCGGAGGAGTGGGGTGTCCGGGGCTGAGAAGGCGGGCGTGTTCGAGAGCACAGGGTTTCTTCTTGGCGTGATGGAATGTTCTGGAACTTTCCAGAGGCAATGGCTGCAGCAGCATGCCAGGAATACACTAAATGTTGTTGGTGGCCTCAGGCTGCTCACAGCAGAGACCGGGAGGCCATGGAACTAGAGGGAAGAAGGGCCACTGTGTGCTGCCCTGGGACGTCCTCTGGTGGTGGGGCCCCCTGGCTCTGCGGCTCCTCGGGCCCAGCTCGGCCAGACCAGATTTGGCACAGAACAGCGCCTGGGGACCACGAGGCCTCCGCCATCACCACACACACCAACTTGACTTTGAAAATCATATTCCTGTGCTTGTTTGCTGCTCCGTGGCAGTCCTGTGCTTGCCCCCACGCGTGTCCCTTCCGTCTGGGTAGAATCCTGATCAGGAAGGCAATTCCAGCCCTCCGCAGCCTCCGGGGTGAAGAGCCCCAGCTCGGGCCCCACAAAGGTCCCCTACTCCAGCCCAGCCCACCCCAGACACTGGGCCAGGTCTGGGGACAAGGGGAGGGACAGTCCCAGATGACCCCCGGCTTCAGCCAAGTACCTCCAGGCACACTGCTCGGGAAGGGCCAGCCTGGCCGGCTCCCACCCTGGACCCCTGCCCTGATGGTGCCCACGGCGCCTGCTACACCATCGGGGCGCCCCTCCTCGGATCTTGGCTCCCCGGCCAGCTCCTGCTTGCAGCCAGCCGCCCTGGACGCTCACTGGGCCTGTGCAGCCCCACCCGGCCAGGGCCACGTGGTGGGGAGATGAGTCAGGGTGGGCCCTGCTCCCAGCAGCGGCAACACGTGCCCAGCCCTGAAGTCCACACCCGGCACCGCGGATGGGCGGGACTGCCCTGTGCCCTGTCACGCCCGCCCTGGTTGTCATCACTGGTGGCCGGGCCTTTTCCGGCTAGCTGGTCTCGGTCTGGGTGGGTGGGGATGTGGGCGTGGCACCAGTCGCCCCAGACGCACGTCCACCGACCACGTCCACCCGCCCCTGCGGTGCTGCGCGCTCACCTAGATAGTAGAGACGGTGGGAGTGGGGGCCGGCTTCGTCCGTCTTCTGCACGAACTGGAAGTCGTGGGGGGCTTTGTTGAGGACGAGGCCCGAGTGCTTGCGGCTGCCGTGGATGATGTTACGTAGCCCGTCCCACGAGTGCTTGGGCACCTGGAAGCGCACGGCCGCCGGGTCCATGTCGCCCGCGCCCACCCGCTCGGCCCCCACCGACATCCTCTCAGCGCCGTCGGAACGCAGCGAGAAGCTGGGGAACAGGGGGGAGCCGGTGAGAGGCAGGGAACCTCTGACAGACCCCAACCATGCGGGACAAGGCCTGGGAGCACCACTGTCCCCTCCGTGCTCTGTTCTGATCACCCATTACACACTGGCCAGGCTCGCAACCTACTGGGACTCCCGCTGGCACACTGGCTGGCTGGCTGGCCCCTTGCTTCGCGGAGCCGATCAGCACAGCTGGTCTTACTCCCTGACATCTGTCAATCCATGCTGTCCCCAGACCCTCCCACTGGCTGCGCCTCCCTCGCTCAACCCCTGGGGAGAAAGACAGGCTCGGAGAGACCCCACCTGGCGGCTGGGGTGCAGCCAGGAGATGCCGTGGCCACTTCTGACACTCCGAGCCAACAGAGCCTGTCTGGGGCCCCGGGGGACGGGAACAGGGGCCTGGCCACCATCGGCCATGCACCCGGGAGGCGGCCCTGAGGGCAGCCGTTCCCAGCCGGGCCCCCTGCTCCCAGCGGCGCCACCAGAGCGTTTCTTGACCAGATTCAACTGGTCAGGCAAATATTTGCTTTAAGGAAATCTAAACACAACGGCCCCAGTGACCCAGTTCTGGAAACGCCAGGGGCTGGGGGGTGGGTGGGGGTCTGGGGTGGGAAAGTATGGCCGGCCTTGTTGCCCTGTGAGGGCACGAGAGATGGCCGGCTCAGCCCCATGCTCCCCTCCCACAGGGTCCCCAACACTTTCAGGACCCTGGGGTCAGGCCGGCCTTCCATGGTCCCACGTGGGGTATCCTGACCCTGTGCAGAGCTGGGCAGGGCCCAGGGGCGCCTGGACGCTGGGAACCCACACAGCTTTGCAGACGGCTGGCAGCATGGAACCCAGAGGCTGAGATCCACGCTGCCCTACGGGCACCCCCCCCTTCCCAGAAGTTTGCCACCCGGCCCCGCCCGGCACGCGTGCCCCACCCCCGCAGGGAGCCAGCAGAGTCCCTTGCCTCTGATCCCCGCAGAGCTGCCAAGAAGCTGACAGGCGGTCCAGGAGCTGAGCCACCAGGCGAGACATTTCTCAGCTCCCTCCCGGGCCCTGCGGGCACCTCTCCCAGCCAGGCCAGCAGGTGGACGGACGGACGGACGGACGTGGCCCCAAGGAAGCAATTCCCTGCTCAGCCAGTGCCAACCTGCCCTGCCGTACTCGGCCAGAGTGAGGAGTTTACACAGCTGGGGACAGGAAAGCCACTCCAAGGCACTTAACCTGATCCACCTACACGCTCCTGCTGCCAATCGGCAGGACGCTCTGGTGGCAAACAGGCCTCTCGGCGTGGGCGGGAGGCCTGGGCCTGTAAGAAGTAGCGGGGGGCAGCCAGAGTGGCCAGGGGGGCAGAAACAGGAAGCTACAGGCTAGCCTATGGTCTGGGCACACCGGATGGTACTCAGCGGTCCTGCCAAGACAGGGAGTGACCACCAAGAAGGTCCCCCGTGCCAACCCCGGGGCTGCCAAGTCAGGCCAACGTGCCACAGCAGACCACAGCCAGGCAGGGCGGGATCCCTGCAGGCAGCGGCCACCCACCCTCAGACTGGGTGCGCTGTGTGCCCTGGGCGGCCTCCCTCAGTTCTCACGGCCAGCCTTGCCCTGAGGCCTTTGGCAGCCAGCAGGAGACGTGGTACCCCAGGTGAGGCGGCCACATCCCTGCGTCGCATGATTCCGCAAACCTGGCCCCGTCCGTCTGCCACCTGGCTCACAGCAGAGGGGGCTGGGCATCCTGGGTTCCCATGGAGATGCCAGGCCCCAAAACAAAATACACTGGGCTGGGCTCTGTGGGTAAGAAGCCCTACCATGCCCGCAGAAGGCTTGGGGTCACCCCCGCTGTGGGGACTGCAGCCTCACTCCACAGGACCCCACACCCACGCGCGCCATCAGGTTGCTCAGCCAGCCCTGCGGTGGTCTCTGGGCCACATCAAGGAACTTGGGGTGCTCCTGGCCAGGAGTGGGTGGATCGAGGGACGCTGCCCCACACCCCTTGGTGGCCAGGTGGGTCCCAGAGGCCGACCCAGCCCCCGGCACCCCCCGGGCTGGTGGAGTGGCCACCCCGTGCCCTGGGCCATGCCACATGGGGGCAAGTGGAGGGCTCCCCTTACCTCCTCCGACTTCCTGTGCTGTTCTTGTCCAGTCGTAGCTTCTTAACCTTCCGCATGAACCGCTTGCTGGCCTCGGGAGGGGGCGCCTGCGAGAGCCAGGGATGCGTCTGGGGGTGCGGCGCGGCCCAGCCAACTCTCCTGGACCCCCCCTCATTTCCTGCCTCCCAGCCTCTGGTGATCCCCAAGAGCCGGAAGGCTTCCAGCACCGGGGTTGTGAAGGGCCATGCCCCTGCGAGCAGCATCTTAACAGACACCTCCAGAGTGTCGCGCCCTGGTGGCAGCCTCGGCGACCTCCTCTCCCTCACCGTCATCCACGGCCTCCGGCCCCACCGGCCTCCTCCCTCTTCACCATCACCACCACCACCACCACCACCTGGCCTTTGCCCGGGTCGATCTCCTGCCGGGCGGCCCTGCCCTGCCCTGCTCGGTTCCCGGGGTGACCTTTCCTGCCTAACCTGCAACCATATCACCCCCATGGCTGCTGCCTGTCACCCCGCTCCGTCACCTGGACAGCAGCCACGCCCTAGAAGGGAGGATTCCCAGTTGGCGGGAGAGTGGGATGGAGAGGGGGAGGGGGTCGGCCCTGGGGCGCGGTGGGTGGGGCTGAAGAAGCTATTTCACACCCTACCGGCTGGATGACCCATCCCTGCATTCGTTATGTGGGGGACAAACCATTGAGTTCACCCCTTTTCTACAACCCAAGGACCAGGACACGCCTCCCCACCCCAGGAACCGGTGGTATAGCCCAGGGCCCCCCCTCAGCGAGGTGTTTCCCGTGTGCCGACTCCTGGGGCTTCAATGGGGGCAATGATGGGGTGCAGGACTCTCCAGGGTCACTGAGAAGGGCAGAGTGGGTGAGGGTGAGAGGAGATGCCAGACCCACCCTCACCTTGGCTTATACCCCACCCACCTCCACCCACCCCAGCTGTGGCATGGATGCCGTGACAGAAGGCAGCCCCGGAACTCACGCCCCACACCTGCCATGAACTCGGAGGTCAGGGCCATCTCCACGGCCCTCCCACAAAGAGAGGGACAGGGCTGGCAACAGCTGGGATGGGACGGAATCCAGGATCCCCACGGCACGTGGACTGAGCGCCGGCCCCCTGTCCTTCCCACAGCCTTCCCGGCACTCCGTCCCAGAAGCCCAAGACAGGAAGTGCCTCCTCCAGCAGGTTCCGGGAAAAGGGTCCTCCCGGGTGACGACCCCCAATGCCTCCCCCCTCCCCGGGGATGCCACTTCCTGCCCAGCTTCTCCACCCACTTCCCTGGGGGGGCTACACCGGGGCGCCCCAGCGTCACTGACCTAGAAGCCGCACAGAGCGATCATTCTGGCTGCGGGCGAGGCCACCACCAACCTTCATGGGGCAAATGTGTCATCAGTTGGAGTAAGCGCGTGTGTGTGGCGGCCAACAGCCGGATCCCGCCCCCCCACCATCCTGCAAAGCCAGCTGCAGGCCCCGCACCTCCACCCGGGGTGCCCGGTCCCGTGTCTAACCCACACAAGCCTGCACCACCTGGGCGCCCTTGCCAGCACCTGGAGAGCCAGCCAGGTGCGTTCTGGCTGTGGAGGTCGGGGGAGGCAGACGGGGTCCCAAGGGATGGAGGGTGGGTGGGGTGCAGAACGAGGCCGGGGCCACCTAAAAGGCTCCGTTGCAACCCAGGGCTGGTGGTGTGGGGCTCTGGGAAGGGGTGAGGAGTGGGGGTGCCTGGAGGGCAGGGGAGTGCAGAGAGTTGCCCTTGGATCTTTTTTTTTTTCTGCAAAGTGTGGGGGGGTGTCCTATGGAGACACGACGGGGGGCTGCCTGGGACAGGGGGACAGTGTGCAGGTTTGCAGCTGGGGGGGGAGTCGGGGTGTGGGGGAGTCCCTCCGGGTGCGCTCGTCTCCACCCCAGCCCCAGCCCAGCTCAGCCCACCTCCGGAGGTGCACGGGCTCGGAGGGGGGACCCCCCGGAGGCGTGCATGCACAGGGGGGTCGGGGTGCGTGCAGGCCGGGCGCAGGCCAGCGGGAGGGGCCGGTGCAGGGCGGGCGCTGCTCACCGGGGCGCTGCGCAGGGCGTCCGGGGGCCGGCGTGGCGCCTCAGGCTCGCGGCTGCAGGCCCCGTGGCCAGCGGCCGTGGACGGTGTGTGTGTGGGGAGGGACACAGGGGACGCGCCGGAGCTCCAGGCCGCCCCCTTCCCTCCTCTCCTCTCTCTCTCTCTCTCTCTCCCACCTCTCTTTGACCCGGAAGTCGAGCGGCCCCAGGCGGCTGCCCGGGATTGGACGCAGGCAGGTCGGGACCAACCAAGGAGCGCGACGGCTCTGGGGGAGGGGGAGGGCGCCGGCGTGGACCGGCCCGCGGGCGACGGCTTCCGGTGGGAGGGAGGACTCAAGGGAGAACCACACACCCCCGCGCCACTTGGTATCGCCCAGCCCAAAGGCCCGCCTTGTATACAGGGAGCTGGGAGAACCGGCGGCAGAGGAGGCGTTGGTGGTATAGTGGTTAGCATAGCTGCCTTCCAAGCAGTTGACCCGGGTTCGATTCCCGGCCAACGCAGAACCTCTGCAATAGTTTTTTTTTTCCTTTTACATTTTTTAAATGTTACTCTTTACCAGCTTTTCAATTCCGGACTTTACAGTAGTGTCTTGAAATTTGCCTTTTTTCTAAAAAGACGAGAAGTAAATGCAAAATTGGAAGGAAAACTGGGTGTTTATAGTTTCAAAGGAAAAAGGAAACGTGGAGACACGTTTAATAGTGTTTCCGCAGGGGGATCGAACCGGGGACCTTTCGCGTGTGAGGCGAACGCCACAACCGTTACACTACGGAAACCAATAAAAAGCGGCTTCACCTCAGATCTACGTATTCCCCGTGAGGGGCGGGCTTTGTTGCTGGGCAACTAGTGATGGCCACGTGGTCGGCTGCCGTCAATCAATGGGACTTCCGCTAAGCATGGGGGGGGGCTGCATGCAAAAAATAAAGCCAAGTCCACGAGCGTCGGCCCTCTGGGGACTGAATCCACGGGGGCACGTTCTCTCCGACCTCCAAATAAGCTATTTTAAAAATGAAATCTTTTTTTTTTTTTAAACTGTATCATTGGCTGCAGCTGTGGCACGGTGCGTGAAAGGAAAAAAAAAATTCAAGATTCTTGTATCTGTAAGAGTTGGAGAGGCGGAAGGAGACAGATATGACACCTGCGACCACTATTCCTCAAATATTCATTCATCTTTCTCTTTGACATGTTGATTTGAGAGTCAGGCGGACGGCGCCCACGCCCATCTCCCACCCAGCCCCAGGTGGAGCTGGGGACTCTGAGTCTCCCTGATGTGGGGTGGGTGGCAGGGACGCATGCACGCTCTTGGGCCGTGGCTGCTGTGTCGGAGGAGGGTGCAGCCAGCAGGGAGTTGCAATCAGGAGCCGAGGCAGCTGGGCTTGACCCCCAGACCCCTCCGGGATCACAGCCCCCTGTGGCTGCAGGCCCAACACAGTGTGGCATACCTGTTGCTCTTTGTAGCAAAGCTTGGCTTTCTCTCCTCTCTGCTCCTCTCTTCCCAGCCTCTCCAGGGCGGTGGTCGCTGCACCAGGGGCTCAGGCACAGAGGCAGAAAGACAGCAAGCAGTCCCAGTGCCCGCGGCCCCCTTGTGCATCACAAATACACGGATACGGACAATCCCATACGCAGTCACTCCAGGTCGTGCGCGCTCCTTCTTGGTCACTGGCTCCATCCACGACCTCCCAGCAGCTTCCGCCTCCACTGGTCCCCCTTGGTGGAGAGAATGTCAGCTCCCAGAGCCACACACCCCCCCAAACACACACATACACCCCAACTTCCATCCCTCCCTCCTGCAACTGGGCTGGGGCCCCTCAGTTGCAATCTGGGGGCTCCAGACCCATCTCCACCTGGCAGCCTGGGGTCTCGCCTGACCTCCACCCTGGGGCTCTAGCAGTCTCTGGTAGGGTGTGGGAGGCAGATGGTACCCCACAGCAGGGGTGGCGGAGGCCCACGGGGGTGTCCACCCTTCCCTCCCTGCCCTCCCCGCCTTGCTCCCGCTCCCAGAGGCCAGGCACAGGCCATGCCCCTGCTGTCCCTAGCTCCCTCCCTGCCCTCCCAGAGCTTCTCCACAGCCCCGTGCCACCCCCAGGCGCTCTCTGCAATTGTCGCAACTCTCAAACCGTCTCCCTGAGTGTCACCATGTTTTATTATGACCAAAGAGGGAGATGAAAGCCGCCCAGGTGGGCTTCCTGGTGGAGGAGGAGAATCTTCCATTTGGGGAGGCCCCCAAAACCTGCGCTTTCCTGCGTCATGGTCTCATTATTGGAAAGTCAGATATACAGAGAGGAGGAGAGACAGAGAGGAAGATCTTTCCTCCGATGATTCATTCCCCAAGTAGCTGCAGTGGCCAGAGCTGAGCCGATCTAAAGCCAGGAACCAGGAGCTTCCTCCGGGTCTCCCACGCGGGTGCAGGGTCTCAAGGCTTTGGGCCATCCTCCACTGCTTTCCCAGGCCACAGGCAGGGAGCTGGATGGGAAGCGGGACTGCTGGGATTAAAACCGGCACCAGTATGGGATTCCGGGACATGCAAGGAGAGGACTTTAGCTGCTAGGCTGCCATGCTGGGCCCCTCACTGAATATTATTAAAAGCAGGGTCCTTCAGATCCTGCCAGGAGGCCCAGAACATGCCCTGTGGGGCCCACCTCTAGACCAACTCCCCTAACAGGACACTGTGGCTTCCAGCAGGTGCCTCCCCGGAACAGTGGCTCCGAATGCCCGCCAGGGGTCAGCAGGAGCGCAGCCGGGCACACATGGGCCCCTGGACCCTGGCCAGCTGTCCCTGCCGGCTTCCTTCCACACATCCAAGCTTGGACTCCATCCTGGAGCTCTGAACCGGGGTCGTGGGGAGGGAGCGGAGAGAAGAAAGGAGAGCAAGGAAGTAGGTGACGGGATAGGGGTGAAGTTGGCAGGGATCCCAGACTAGAGGGTTGTGTTTCCTGCAAAGGGGTACCCCACACCTCCCAGCCTGCACAGCAGCAGGGAGCTGGGACAGTCTGGGCCACCCCAGGTGGAATGTGGCCCCGTGGGGTGGGTGTCCTCACCACGCCTAAAAAAACGCTCCTCCCCACAACATGGGCGCAATGGCTGGGAAGCATGTGTTGGAAAAAAAAAAATCCAAGAAAATGTCAGCTCCACAACACCCTCAGCCTCCAGCCCCCAGCAGCCCCCAGGGACAGACGAAGAGCCCCCAGCAAGATGGCTCAAGAACCTGGGCACCTGCTTCTCCTATGGGAGACCCGGATGGCACTCCTAGCTTTGCCTTGGCTCAGCCCCGGTCGTGGTGGGCATTGGATGTGGGGGCCCTCCCTACCTCTGCTGCCTACCAGCTCCCTGCACAATGAGGCCACTTCCTGAATTTTGGATAATGCAAAGTCCAGTGGGTGGAGGGATGGGCTAGCACCACGAGGCCTCAGTCACACAGCAGGCGCATGATGAGGTGTGGGGTTAGCGGGGGCTGTTAGGTCTGTCCCCAGGAAGCCCTGAGTTGGCTGGAGCCAGGCGTGAGTAAGGAACCCGCAATATTGACCCTGGAGTGCAGGGCGTGGCCCACCCGCCAAGCCCTTGGGGACCAGGGATCTGGGTTCAGATCTTGTCTCCTGGTCCCAGCTCCCTGCTCACGCTGAAGCCTGCCCTAGGAAGTGGCAGGGGATGGTCCCAAGGGCTTGGGTCCCTGCCACGTACGTAGGTGACCCGGATGGAGCTCCCGGCTCTCGGCTTTAGACCAGCCTGCATCGCTCCCAGAGCTGAGGGGCCTGGCCTGGCTGCCAGCACCTCCTGGGCAGAAGTGGAGTGGGGCTGAGACCCACAGAGAACCCACAGAGAGAGAGGGACTGGCCACGGCGGCGAATGAGACCAAGTCACAGGGAGGAGCAAGAGGA